ATCACCTGAGGTCAGGAGTTTAAGACCAGCCTGGCCAACATGGGGAAATCCTGTCTCTACTAAAAATACAAAAATTAGCCAGGCGTGGTGGCGCATGCCTGTAGTCCCAGCTACTTGGGAGGCTGAGGCAGGAGAACTGCTTGAACCCAGGGGGCAGAGGCTGCAGTGAGCCAAGATCATGCCACTGCACTCCCGCCTGGGAGACAGAGTGAGACTCCATCTCAAAAAAAAAGAAAAAAAGAAAAAGAATTACTCCTGCCTGACTGCCTTCAAGCTGGGACCTCAGTTTTTAGTTGCTTTCTGATCTGAACTGAAAAACTCAGCTCTCCTGGGTCTCTCTGGTTTGTTGACTGCAGATCTTGGAGCTTAGCAGCCTCCATAATCACGTGAGTCAATTCCTTAAAATACATCCCAATCTCTCCTCTTCCCTCATGCAGACAGACCCTATTGGTTCTCTTCTTCTGGAGAATGCTAATACAGAGGCTCTGTCCACGCAGAAATGATGGGAGCACAGGCTAGGGAGTCACCGTGGAGGTGTGAGAAGTAGCTGGGATATGGACGCACTGTGAAACAAGAGCCTGGGTGTGGGATACGACAGAAGAGACAGGAGTCAAGGAGGCTCAGAGGTAGAAGAGCATGAACTTCCTCCTGTGACAAAAGGGATACTCACTTGTATCTCCTTCAGAGACTTTGACAGAAAACATCACTCTAGAAGCAAAACAGGGAACAGGTGGCTGGAGGCAGAGAAACCAGTTACAAGGCTGTTCAGACACTAGACTGGTATCTACATGGGGAGGCACCTGACAGGTGGCCAGATCCCCAGATGGAATCTCCACCTTGTGGCTTATGAGGCATTCTGGGCCACTGCCTCTTGAAGACACTGCTTAGGGCGATAAGAACTCATTTTGCATTTGGGAAGCTGTAGGTGGGCATGGTGATAAGCAGCCCAGGATTTTGTTCACCAAGAGGTATTATTCCAACTTCCACAACCCAAGTAGCATCTCCGCACGGAAATGAAGCTGCAACAGCTCCCTGTCATGGAGGGGGCACTTCCTAGTTCTCAGACCTCATCACTAGAGCCCCCAAGCTTGGATGTTGTTGCTGAACCCCCTCAGAGCACTGAGCATCAGCCTGAGTACCTCTCCTGACTGGACCAGGGGTCACTTGCAGCACTACAGTTCTCTCCAGCCCCGTGACACTCTCACTGTAAATACAAATTCTCACCCAGTGAATGCCAAGACGAATCCAACCCTACCTAGTGGGGGAGAGGAGATTAGGAAATGGGCGATGAGAGGTACACGGCTTCTGAGAAGGGAGCCCTGCTGCTGGGGGCCTGAGAGGCACCCAGTGGAGAGGAGCCTGGACAACCTTGGCAACCAGCCCCCACGTTCCACAGCATTTCGGGGGCCCAGGCACCCTGTGTGTGACCCCTTTCCACTGTAACTAGGCCTGCTCCCTGCTCTTCCCCTCGAAGACACAGATGACTGCTCCTCTCTGGCAGCCCAAAGCTTTCTCTGCCCCCACAGCTGCCTGCGGGCCTTTGAGCCACTTCTCCCCAGTTCTGTTCCAAACCCACCAGAAAGTCCTTCCCTAAAAGTCCACTTACTCTTTGAGATCAGTGTGAGAAGTTACTCAAAGAACAAAACTAAGCACCCAGTGGTGAGTGCCCAAGCTCAAGTGTACAGATTTTTTCTGACAGCAGAAGAGACCTGTTTACTTGTCTTCCAAGTTGAGTCCTGAGGTGGAATAACTTCCTCCTCTGACTTCTGCCCTCAGGATCCCTAGGCAATGGCCCCGACATTGCTTTCTAGCCCCTCACCATGAAGCCTGTCAGGGTCCCGTGTGCCTCACCCTCTATCTGCCACTCACTAAACTCAGGATCCTAAAATCTGCCCTCTTACCCATTTTCGTTTACACAAATTAAACTCCAACTACAATGAATTTGAAGGATCCCATCTGCCTCTCTAAACTCACCTTCCTCCACATTTTAGCCAATCCAACCAACTCAGCAGCCACCTTATCCTCAAGGATCTTGGATGTGCAGTAATTCCCATCTCCCACCCAGCCCTCCTGACACTGGCCACAGGGGAACTTTCACCCGGCACAACACGGACAGCGTCGCCTAGTGAACACACCCCCACCCCACGCCCCAAAGTTCCAAGTTGAGAATAAGCCATTTGCTGGTGGACTCGGTTCCCACAGGAGGGATGAGGATGGCTGCCATCTGCACATCAGCTGCCTGGGACTTAACATTTCACACGTCACGTTTCAAACAGAGGCAGCAGCTGCAGCTGAGATGAAGCATATCCAAGTATACTTAGCCCTTACTATATTGGAAGAAAACATATTTCCCAGTTCCGATGACCTTCATTTTCTGCCGTATTAAAGTCTTACATAATTTAATTTTTATATAGCCAATCTGTCTTTTCTTTTGTGATGTACTGCATTGCTTTAGGGCTTATATATTTTTTCTCTTGTCTGAAGTGTAGATTAAAAGGGACTAACTTTCTTCTAAATAGAAAAAGATAGGTTTTAACTGCGGACTCCCATTAAGAATGTATATTGGTGTCCCTGCTGCCCCCACAGCTAACCAAATGTTGCTGCACCATTTCAAACATCTCCACTGATTTATGCTTATCTTAATAATTATTAACTTATCACTAATACATTAATTTTAATAATGCCTTTCTGGGAATAAATATATTTATAGGAAATATACAAATTCAGAAAAATAGGATTAAATAGAAATTACACACAACTTTACTTCCCTATAGCAATAACAACATTTCTGGTATTTATTCCACACATAAGTATACATTGTATATGCATATATCCTTTAAAAAGTTTGTCACAAACCATCTGTTCTGGGGTGGTCTTACATATCTGTATTAGGAAACCTACACTTCTCACTAGAAGTTCTGGTCCTCAATGTTCTTATGAGGTCCAATGGACTTCGCTTTCTTCCCCATCTTACTTCTAAATGGATAAGCCAACTAACATCATTTACTGTAGAGTGACTCCATGGGGTAGAGAGCTGATGAGAATTACTTTGTAAACACACTTTTACTTTTTCTGCTGACATCAGCAACACAGTTCACTGTAGGGCACTTGGAATACACAGAAAAAAGTTGGTAATGACATCCAGCACCCAGAAATAATATACTTTCATCCTTCAACCTAGGTAGGTATATATTTTAAACCCAAGTTGGAATTGACTCTATTTTACTATTTTTTTTAATGTTTCCTATTCAATACTCTTTTTTTTTTTTTTTTTGGAGACGGAGTCCTGCTCTGTTGCCCAGGCTGGAGTGCAGTGGCACGATCTGGGCTCAGTGCAAGCTCCGCCTCCTGGGTTCACGCCATTCTCCTGCCTCAGCCTCCCGAGTAGCTGGGAGTACAGGTGCCCGTCACCACGCCCGGCTAATTTTTTTGTATTTTTAGTAGAGACAGGGTTTCACTGTGTTAGCCAGGATGGCCTCGATCTCCTGACCTCGTGATCCGCCCGCCTCGGCCTCCCAAAGTGCTGGGATTACAGGCTTGAACCACAGCATCTGGCCTCAATACTCTTTTTAAATGACTTTAAATAACGAAACAGTATTATAACATATGAATATGACAAGTAACTTACTGACCCCCTTCTGCAGAGTTGATTTTACTCTTCTAATTCCTGAATATACTTCCCACTAGTTCCCTGGGACAAAATTTCCAAAGGTGAGAACCTTGGGTCTTAAGAAGACATTTAAGGCTTTTGATACACTTGCCAGACTGCCCTCTGGAAAGGTTGTCCACCCCTCACATACCCCCTTCTTGCAGGAAAGAACTGCCACCCCTACATTCTTTGGCAAGGGCCTTCTTTTTAATGAACAAAAGAGCACAAAGGGCACTGTCCAGCCTGGACATCAAGGGTTGCCCGTCTAAAGCAGGAAAGGTGTGCCCTTGACAGTGACTTATGTCCGTGACCCACCGCCAGCACTGGGATACTTTAATGTGCCAGCAGAAAGAGAAGGGGCCACTTAGAGTTCACAGATTCTTAAGAGCCAACAAAGAGTTTTTCTGGATGTAGAATACCAAGTATAGCAAGGGAAGTGACCTTAAAAAAAAAAATGGAAGTTCCCCCCAGACGAGGTCTGGCTGGCTGTCTGGGGCCAGCATGCTGACCTTCAGGTCTTCTGGCAAAGAATCAAGGTGGCCCGAGTGAGAAAACAAGTTAGTCATAAACAGACCACCACGCGTCTCCCGGCTGACTGCGGGCACCTCGGGTCTACAGAGAGGCCTGCCAGCTTCTACTTCCTGCAGCCACGGGTGGACCAGGAACATGGCTGCCATTCTTCTCACAGACTAAAGCAACTTTAAGATAAGGCCTTTGAGGAAGGGGAGCTTTATGCTGACTATTCATCATATTCACAAACATTCAGAAAAAGCAAACAGTGGGAAATTCTTTGCTACAATCACTGAAATGTCACGAGACAATGTCATAGTTCAAAAGGGAAGCCCTGCAATTCAACTGACCCTAGAAGCCTGCTGGAATAAAAGTCACAGCTGAGCCAAGAGAATATTGCTTCTACTAAAGAAAAATTGCTTTCAAAGGCTCTGTCAGGAAATCAACTCATAGTGTAATAGAACAGTGGCAGCCATGCAGCGAGGGTTCTTTGTGTGGTCACACAGATATTCCTCTCATCTGAACTACATGGAATTATCATCCTCCTCGCAAGAAAAGGGACTCACAGGGATTAGGAACCCCATCCCAGGACACACCGCTGGCAAAGGTCTGAGGCAGGATCCAAAGGCCCAGGTCTGTTGGAAGCCAAAACACAGTGCTTAACTGGCTTGGAGACCTCACTTGCGCTTGAGCTGAGCCACCCGCACGCGCTTCCCCTGTACTCACCCCCAGCGAGGAGTATGCCTCCGTGCTCATCCACCAAAGTCAGAGAAGCTATGTCAGGCAGAGAGGTGGGGGCTGCCTCACAGACAGCCAAGGTGTGAAATAAACACAAACACCATTTTGTAATCAATGATTTTTATCTCTGAAAATGGAAGCAAGTGTTTTGACAGAACACTATGGCCACTCTATAAGAGCCGACGTAGGAATAATTCACTGTCCTCTTCCGGGATGTCAGGGCTTTAAAAAAAAAAAAAAAAAGACAAAACAGGAAAATAATCCACAATGCTTTGGGCGCCTACTCTGAGCTTGGCTGGGCTTATTCATTAAATAAGTCATAAGCTACAAACTAATATCAGGGTAACTTTCCCTTGCCCTCCTGCTTCTCTTTGAACCACATGCCCTACGGTGTTTCACCACCATCAACAACAACTTTGTTTACTTCATTAATTCGACATCAGAACCTTAAAACATTTCTGAATCTTAGACACAAAGGTCCTCAGCAGATTACACTGATAAAGAAACAAACACAGGTTTGAATATAACTCATTGTCATTGTTGTTTTCTTTACATCTCATGATCCACTTCAATATTAAACACACACATACACACACACGAAACCACATCAAACATTCAGATGCCCTGAAATTGTGGAGACAGCACTCCCAATATTGGCTGGATAAGAACATGGTCCTTTTTCTATACGGGCATTACTCCAAGTTCAGCTGTCACCACACTCTGCCCTCACCCTGGCTCCCTGAATACAGACGTTTCCAACCAGTCCCATGCCCACACCAGCACGAGCATGTGCAAGAATTCCCTTCATGGTCCCAATGGCACTACACATTTCACGTTCAATCACAGACAGCCCTTCCAAAACAGAGGCTCCTTACATCTTGTTTCCCAAGCATGCACTATAAGAAATTGGAAATGGGGCAAAGTTCTAGCTAACCGAGGAATGAACAGGCAACCAGAGCTCAGTCTCTGGCCCCCTCCAAGTCCGGGGAGCCTCTGTGCTTTGATGCAGCCTTGGTGAGAGATGGAGAGGCAGGGCAGATTAGTTGTGCAGAGGGACATGTTTGTACACATTAAAGCTACAGCAGAGGTCTGCGTTCCTGTTTCTGCTTCACTCTCGATCATTCTCCTCAGTCTCAATATTCATTCAGTCGCACCCTCTGGCCTCATCTTAGCTTAATGTGGTTAGAGCTAAAAGGCAGGCAGGAAAGAAGGAATGGCTGGGAGAGCCCTGAGAGAGGTCGCAGCACATGTGAGGAAGAGGGTAGAGCAGGAGCTTTGTTGGTGGAAGAAGAGCCACTTCCTCCTCCAACACAGCATGGGGACAGCACAGGGACACAGGATCACCCAGGGCAAATACCCCTCTCCACATGCCCTCATTTTTAGTCCCCACCACTGTACTCAAGAGCTGGGCAAGCTGCTGAAAAGGGCAAGAACGAACACTCAGCAGTACACACGTCTTCCTGTCCCGGGCACCCTTGTCAAGTATTGACCAAAACCTGAAACATGATGTTTAAAGTGATGAATGCAATAGATCCTAGGTGTGTAACAAACTGCAGAAACACATGCTAGTTTGGGTTAGATTATAATCATCTGAAGCACAGGATAACCAAGAAGCAAAATTCCATTCTGGTACAAACACCCGATTTCTAGAAAAGAGAAAGGAAAGGAAGAAATACGATGTGAGTTTTTTTGATCAGAAGACTCCAAGAAATGAGAGCGGTGGTAATATGAATCCACGTGATTTTTCAAGTCTTCCTGTTGTACAGTCATCAAAATGACCAGGTTTGTGCTGCAAAGGAGCCAGCACCATGTGGCTACTGCTTTGATTGTTCTCAGATGAATGTTTATACAAAATAATATCTTATCTTCATTTAGTTTATAAACATACACAGTGCTGTCCCTTTCAAATTAAGGAAAAAAAACCACACACAAATACTGCAAAGTAGCAAAATACAAAGGAAAACAAAGCTACTTTTGGTTTTGGCAACATTAAAAAAGAAAGAATATAAAAAGCAATGTGGCATTGGTCCCTATTCGTTTAAAAAAAAAAAAAGGGTACTTGGGCACGACACAATCAGAATTAGTTTGTTTTCTAAAATTCAGAGTATCTGGGATTTTAAAAGTAGCACTTTTTAAAAAGTTCAACAAGTCACATAACACTTAAAACATCAAAAAAGCTTTCTGATAAAAAGCTCAGCTTTTAAATCACGTTTTGTTTCTGCAAATTTGGGAGACAAATTGAGTTCTTACTGGAATGTGGCCTATGGCTGGTTGACAACTCTGAAATGGAATGTCTCCAAATGGCAGTGCCTCCCTTTCCGCCCTCCCTAGGACCACACCAACAACCAGCTCCCAAGCACAAGTTCTTGCTCCCATTTTTTTGTAGGGGTGGGGGTGGGACCTTCAGGCTGCTATCTTCGCCATCTGCTGTTCTAACTTGGAAATACGCTCATCTTGATTGCAGATTGTGTCTTTTATAGATTTGATCTCTTTTAAAATCTCATCCAACTTGGCTTCATTTTGCTAAGAAAACAAACAAAAAAAGGAGGCAGTGATTAAAATGCAGTAAACAAAGTTCAACACAGTTCAAAACTTGTAAGATATAAAATGCAGTTTTCTGTTTTGCAAACGGCAAGCGATAGTCACCAAGTTGAAAAGAGACGTCAAAGCCCTACTGCACCTGGGGCTTTGAACCCAGTGAGCACTGGCCGGTCTATCTGAAACCCCGTGGCAAAGCGACTGCGTCACCGTGTCACAGCGCCACTTCTCATCCCGAAGCCTGTGCATTTACTCAAATAAAGGGTCTCCTGGGTCCCAATTAAGACTATAGGACAAAACAGGCTCCTTCAAGAGTGCCCTACCTCACAACCACCCCAATCATTCCATCAAGAGTAACTTCTATCTGACCAGAGCGAGGGCTGACTCTCCCAGAGGCTACAGAGCTCCTGCCATCTGTGAGGGAGGCTCCTTCTTGGGAGGGAAACCCTTGCCCTGTGTGTCCACTCCTCCTCTCTTACCCAGGACCTGCTCTCCCGGCAACAGCAGCACTCTCCAGTGGCCACAGCGAGTCAAAGGCAGGCTCGATTCCCTTTACCCCACCACCCAAAGGGCTCTTGCCTAAATCCCCCTTGTTGCCAACCCCACACAGCCAGATCCTTCTGTCGTAACCACTTAGCTACATCTGAACACTTGCCACTCCCTCCTTCCAGGGACCTCCTCTCCCTGGTGCCTATGACCCCACGCTCCCATGATATTTTATTTCTACCCAAATCAGAGAAGGAAGACTGATACCTATCCAAATCTTGGTGGTTTGTGGCCACACTTGGTTCCTTTAATGGGGCTAAAGGAGCTTTAACTCCGTTAAAGGAGGCAAGTGTGGCCACAAACCACCACCATCACGAGACCGAGGACCTTCTCCCACTTTTTCATTTACTGAAAACCCCCGTGCACCCAGCTGGGACAGTACTTGCCGACGCCCCGGACCACAAGGGCTTTCCAGACGATAAAGCCCGAACCAGCCAAGCACCCCTGCACTCCAGTCAGTGGTCCTCACCACACTGGCTGTGTCTGTAGTTTTCTTGGGGACACTGATCAGGTCGCACTTCTTGTTTGCAGTGGGTTTGCTATCCAGAATGTTCTTCTTGACCACCTTGAGATCCCTGTTTTTGCCTGGAATATACCCGTGCTTCAAGGAGATGAGGATGGGATCTGCATTCTTGCCCTCGAACCACTCTTCTGCCTCCAGCGCAGCCTCTGGCCCCGCTGTGTCAGGATACAGGTCATCTTGGAAAAGGTCAGACTACAAGAGACATTTGGCACCCACGGGTAAGGAAGAAGAAAGGCCTGGGATTTTTGAATTTCATTTTTACATTTGTTTAAAACATGGATTGTCTAGAAAACTGGGCACTCACCTTCCTGGGAACAGTCATGATAATAGGTTCACACTTTCTCTCATGAAGTTTGAAGAATCTTCAGAGGGGAAATAAAGGCAAAGTTGCATTTAGTGAAATATGAGGTTGACTAACCGGATGAATAATGAGTTTTCTACAATGTTGTCTGAAATGTCAAGTGCCTCTTTACCCATCCCCGCATTTGATCCACCCTGGGAATAGGCAGAACTTAGTGTTCCTAGTTGACAGATGACAGAACGGAAGCTGAGAGTCACTATGCTAAGAAATGGCAGACTGGAGACAAGAACCATGAGTAGAGGTCTATGTATGATGCCAATTATCTGGAGGGCAGACAAACTGGTAGAAATAATAGCAACACTGAAACTGACTCACTTGTGAAAAAATTACCATGTCAACATACAGGAAAGAACACACATCTGTTAGACTGTATCTACAATGCAACGTGGGTACAAGGTCTTCTGCCAGCTTGAGGTGGTTGAACATGTGTAAGTATAAATATGACTTTTAGAAAACAAACAAAAAAAATCGTAGATTATGATATTCCCTTCCAAGCAAACCACCTCGTACATGACACTCAAGAAAAAATGTGAAACTATCCAAAATGTGGAAAGGGAATGTAAAGCAACTTGCACTGTAATATTGGAAGAAGGGAGCAAAGAGCTCTGTAATGGGGAAGAAAGGTAAAACATTTTTGTTTGTATTGTACAAGAGAACTAAACAGACCAGAAACGACTTCTCTTATGATGACCCTGATAAGGTCAAGCCAATTTTCTTTGTCAGTCAAGATGGGAAACAACAAAAAAATCTCTCTAAAGCTCCTGGCAAAAGAGGTGGCCTTAGTGAGCATTCTGACCAGATCACCAGATCAAATGGCTGGTGTGCAAGGGGGGAGTTGAGTGTGGGCGTCAATGCTGCTGGGGAAATGTTGTTTTTTGAATTCTAAGAGTTTAAGTCAGAGAAGACACGGCCACATCAAATATGCAAAACCAGTGAAACTCATTTCTCCTGGAAACCTGCAGCCTTTGGCATCTGATACTGGGCAGGAGTCCATTGAAGACAACCTGGCAGACACATTGCTCTAACGCATCAGGGGAACAAAAGCTGAGTAGAGCTCAGGGTGGTAAAGGTTTATAAAATCATCGTCCTCTTTAAAGGGAAGGTTGTGTCAAATGTGCCTCTTTACTATTTATTTATTTATTTATTTTATTTTATTTTATTTTTGAGACGGAGTCTCGCTCTGTCGCCCAGGCTGGAGTGCAGTGGCCGGATCTCAACTCACTGCAAGCTCCGCCTCCCGGGTTCTCGCCATTCTCCTGCCTCAGCCTCCCGAGTAGCTGGGACTACAGGCGCCCGCCACCACGCCCGGCCAGTTTTTTGTATTTTTTAGTAGAGACGGGGTTTCACCGAGTTAGCCAGGATGGTTTCGATCTCCTGACCTCGTGATCCGCCTGTCTCGGCCTCCCAAAGTGCTGGGATTACAGGCTTGAGCCACCGCGCCCGGCCTCCTCTTTACTATTTAAACCAAAAACCAAAAGAGTCCCAAATAAACCAAAAACATTTTTTTTTTTTTTTTTTTTTTTTGAGACCGGGTCTTGCTCTATTGCCTAGGCTGGAGTGCAGTGGCACAAGCTCACTGAGGCCTTGACCTCCTGGGCTCAAGCAAATCCTCCCACCTCAGCCTCTGGAGTAACTGGGACCACAGGTACATACTACCACACCTGGGTAATTTTTTTAATGTTTTGTAGAGACAGGGTCTCACTAGATTGTCCATACTGCTCTTGAACTCCCAGGCTCAAGTGATCCTCCCACCTTGGCCTCCTAAAGTGTTGGGATTAGAGGGTGAACCACCACTCCTGGCCCAAAAACATTTTTAAAGACCGATTTAATGAAAATTCTGTGGTTAGTACAGCGAATAAAAAGACTGACTTGGCTTTGACTTCCAGCTGTACTACTAAAACCCATGAGAGTGTGACAACCTCAGCAAGCCTTAAGTTCTTCATCCATAAAATGGGGATAAAAGTAACACCCACCACATAGGATTGTTATGAAAAGTAAGAGGTAGCAAGTGGCATATTTAGCACAGTGCCTGCCATATAATAAATGCTCAAGAAACACTTCATAAATCGGAGACATTCCAAACAACTGTGTTTATAGTATGTGGAACTTTTAGATGACAACAAATGTGTTTTGAAATACTGGATGTAATCATAAACTCGAATTCAGTCTATTTTGAACCACATTTTGATTAGTTTGGTTTAAACCACAATTTTCAATTATCTGTAACAGCTTTCCTTCATTATTCCAACTAAAACAAACAAAAACTCCCATAGAAAGTTTTGGTTTGTTTGTTTTTGTTTGTTTGAGACAGTTTCACTCTTGTTGCCCAGGCTGGAGTACAGTGGCACCATCTCGGCTCACTGCAACCTCCACCTTCTGGGTTCAAGGGATTCTCCTGCCTCAGCCTCCCAGGTAGCTGGAATTACAGGCACCCACCACCACACACAGCTAATTTTTGTATTTTTACTAGAGATTAATATAAAAAGGGGGCTTATAAAAATTCTTTTATTTTGAAAGACATAAGCATCAATTATTTAATTGTGAGACCAGAACAGCAAGGTTTTTAAAAGTCCGTATAAACACAGTGTTATACAAATGTTTGCTATGACCCTACCTGTGATAATGTAATGCTAATTATTCTGTTGGTTGAAATGGCTAGTGGTCACTGAGTCTCAGAGGGTACATTTGTTGACTAGCATGAGAAAAAAGCCTGTCCCTTAGGAAGCCCAGCATTTAGAATATGAATTTTTTAAAAATCAGAAGTAGTACAGAGAGGTAGAAATTAAATCATAGCTGAACTTCCTAAATCAAGCTAACCTATCGCCCCACTGTAGGACCTTTGGTTTCTCTATTTTAGGACCAGTGGGGCCCCAAATACAGTTCTGATTCTGGTTCTTCCACTCATAGGGTAGGAAAACCGCCCCCTTTTCCATCCCCGAGCCAGGCTCTCCCCTACTTGCCCACCAGGGAACACTGACCATGGCCTCAGTTTGAAGAATAAAAATGTAGCTGGGATTACAGGCACCCACCACCACACCCGGCACAGCTCACTTTTTATCATCATCTGAATGCCTGGTGATACCAGAGCAATACAGCTACAAGACATTCTATGAAGCCCAGCACGTTTCACTATTTCAGTAGGTGTGCAATACACCCCAGCTATGCCACTTAATTGCTGCACTTCAGTTATCTGGGCAGGAAATGAGGTATTAATTCCACAGTACACACAAGGATAGAAAGACATGGGCTTCACAGAATTTCTTGTAGCTGTATTGCTCTGGTATCACCAGGCATTCAGATGATGATAAAAAGTGAGTAGGCGTGATGATGATAAAAAAGTGTATTGCTCTGGTATCACCAGGCATTCAGATGATGATAAAAAGTGAGATGTGCTGGGTGTGGTGGTGGGTGCCTGTAATCCCAGCTACTTGGAAGGCTAAGGCAGGAGAATTGTTTGAACCAGGGAGGTGAAGGCTGCAGTGAGCCGAGATTACAACACTGCACTTCTGCCTGGGCAACAGAGCAAGACTCTGTCTCAAAAAAAAAAAAAAGTGAGATTTTTTTCTAATGAAGAAACTCGGTTTTAGTGAGTATCCTTAGAAAGTGCCATCTGACGGCAATGGGTACAATTCTACTACTTTCTTGCTCAGAATGGTCAGATATTTTTAAGATCTGAAGTATATGCTAGTCTAAGTACAAATAATTGTCACACAGTTACACCAACCTAGAATACCTGACAATCTCGATTCTTTACCTGGCAATCTCACATTTGTTAACATCAAGTCCCCTCTTGGGCATGTAACCCATCCCTCTCTGAGGCTCTTTGCTGCTGAATGTGTTGAGGTAGTGGACGTACGGGGATTCATCCGTGATCTCAAAATAGCGAATACTGCTGTCACCCTGTAAGAAACCAGAGACAAGTCTGTGTCTGATTGTTAACTGAAACCTCTGGAGTATGTGGGTGTCTCTTTCCTCTATAAACCCAGCATTAGTTGGGACCCCACTTCAGTAGCTGACCTTTTCTTCCTCATAAAGAGGCTTGCCTAAAGCATATGACAGTTTCTTTTCCTCACAAAGTAACCCCTCACTTATCAAATGCTAGCATGCCTTTTAAGTGGTCTCTTTGGCCTCCTACAAAAGGCTTTAATTTTACTCCCCTGAGCCTCGGCACCAGGCCAGGGTTAGGGCAAAAACATTGAAGCCTCTGCCAAACAGCTACATTGCAATTCAACTTCGAAAAACAAACAAACAAACAAAGACTAAGAGAATTGCTGAGAATGCAATTATTGATTTAAGTATAACGCAATGCTGTTCACAGACCTGAGGGCACCAATACCAGGAACTGAGTTGATGATAAAAAGTGAGATTTTTCTAATGAAGAAACTCAGTTTTAGTGAGTATCCTCAGAATGTGCCATCTCATGGCAATGTGTACAATTCTACTACTTTCTTGCTTAGAAGAGTCAGATATCTTTAAGTGCTGAAGCATATGTTAGTCTAAGTACAAATAATTGTCACACAGTTACACCAACCTGAACAATGATGGCAATCTTGTCTGGCAGAGAGGAGATATACATATATGTAAGAAAGAAGAAGACAAAAATAGCTAGGTGGTATCATGCCTCAACAGTGCTCCCAGTTCTCATGATTTCCATTTGTCTCAATGATTGAGATATCTAAAGCAATGGAAAAGAAGCTAAACCCTTACTAGTCATTTCTGCATACCCAAAAGAATTTTCCATCTAATGTTACTCATATCTGAGTAACTGCTCATTTTGTTTGTTTTAATTCAGTCAAGGGCAACAATGGCAAGGTAAATGTACTTAACACCTGTTAACATCTGCAGTAAAATGGCTTTCAAGGAAACAGACAAGATCTCTGTTTCTAAAACAATGACCTATAAAAATGTAAAGCAGGTCTGCAGCATGCTCAATCAACTATGAAAAGCAAACATCACCAGCTTTACCACCCAGCGAAGGGCTATCTAACAGGTCTAGGGACTACCTCAACAGCTCTACTGTTATTAAATTATTTCAACTACAAAAAGTTCTAAGGGAAATTGAGCCTACAAAAAAAGGTGGGGGGGAATTATAAGGTTCCCACTTAAAAAATGAAATCATAAAGCTACCCACAGTGTAGGCATGCTGAGCTCATAAGGCAGGAGGAAGGTTTTTGGAGTTCAGTGTGGAGTCTCCCTGTAACTGTTATCACCCCTGAGCTTTAGTCAGGTCTCGTATCTTCAAGCCCAGGGCCCTGGCACTGAACCCCCAGAAACAAGAACCCTCTGGAGAGTCTCTGAGGCCCTCAAAAGTTTGCATCCACAAAACACCAATTCTCCTTCCAAGTCTATGGTGTGTGGTACTAAGTATACACATCCTCATCTAGGGTTATCCAACAAATTTCAGCATTCGATGTGGCCAACTGGTTGCCCATCCCTGACACAAGTACAGATAAATATAAAATCGCCAATCAGGTAGCACTGCTAGGTGAAAATGAAACACCAGTGTGTCTTCTTTTTTTCACAAGAGCGCCCTGATTGGAGCATTTTCCCCAACACTCCAGCCCAACCCCTGCTTCAGTCAAAAGTATGGAACGTGGCGTGTTATCACTGCACAACTGGCAAACTGCACACAGTCCAGTCTCAAGACCTAAAAAATACCAAATTATCTCTCCTTAGCTTATAACATACACACACAAATTAGAAAAAGTAAACAGATACAACACATTGCCCCTCCTCTAAATCTCTGAAGGATAAATGTTTCCACTTATAGGATTTACCACCAAACATCAAAATTACTGTTTACCTTTCCACATAAGTAAATGATGCTGGTGTCAGGGTCATAGAAAGGCAGCAACACCCCATTGCTAGTGTCCATCTCATGAAGAGCAATTGGTTCCTGCATATTTTTCTGGGGGGAAGATAATAATACATATATGTGTGTGTATACATTTTTTTAAAAATAAATTTTTATGACCTTATTAGACATTCTTCTATCCTAATTAAGCGAGCCATTTTCCTAGAATAATAGAAGTTTGAACTATGCACATACAATACTCATACATGGAAACAGCAACAGGGATGCTAAATGAGATCCAATTCACTAAAAATTTCACTGACTGGACAACATAATGCACGCATACATCAATGTGATTTCATGACAATGATGAGAGCGCCCTTCTCCTTTGTGACTGTTTTCTTTTTCTTTTTTTAAGACTGAGTCTCCCTCTGTTGCCCAGGCTGGAGTGCAGTAGTGCTATCTCGGCTCACTGCAACCTCCGCCTCCCAGGTTCCAGCGATTTTCCTGCCTCAGCCTCATGAGAGCTAGGATTACGGGCACATGCCACCACTCCCGGCTAATTTTTGTATTTTTAGCAGACACAGAGTTTCACCATGTTGGCCAGGCTGGTCTCCAACTCCTGGCCTCAAGTGATCCAGCTGCCTCAGCCTCCTGAAGTGATGGTATTACAGGGATGAGCCACTGTGCCCACCCTATTTTATTTTTTAAAAGTACTTTTTAAATTATAAAATATGTGTGCTTTTAAAAAGTTGAAAGATATAAAATAGAACATAAAAATCATTCCATATTCCAAAATCCTACAGCCCAGTGGGTGGCAGAAGCTATTATCATTTTGATCTATTTCCTTTCCACACATGTACACACTGAGATTGAGCTGATTCTATGTATGTTTTATTTTTCCCCACTTAAGCTAATTATGAACATTTTCCCAAGCATGACTATTTTGATTTAAACAACTGATCGTATTATTTATGAAATATGAACTTATTTCCCAAATCCAAAACACTAGATTCTTCATACGTTCTTTTTAAAAAATATAGTCAACAGCCTCTTCAGGATTATCAAAAGTATGTCTTTGAAATATATTTACCAGTAAGTCTCCAATGAGGATAAGAACTTCACATCCAATTTAAGATGAGCAGGCGTTTAGAAAACTACACTAAGAATCCCATAATCTACTTACTCACCGGAAGACCTGCTCAGAACAGACAGAAAACTCAAGTGAAAGCAAGCAGAAACGCTGGGGAGGGCGTACCGGATTCCAGAGAGCCAGCTGCCGCTCACTCATGCGGCTGAACCCAGTGGTGAAGACATTACCATCAGCCAGGAAGATGGCTCTCATGGGTCTTGCTCCTTCATGTGCTTTCTCCTTCTCCTGGAGAGCAAAAAGGCACATGCCACACATTAAACTGCAAGAAGACAAGGTGAGTGGGGAAACTCAGGCATAGATCCAACCTCACTCACTGCCATTCATGTTCACCTGGGTGTAGGAGGGAAGTCAGTGCTAACCATCCCCCTTCCCCAGATGAGGAAACAAAGAGATACTATGTGATCTGGCCAAGGCCGCTCCGTGAGGCAGCAAGAGTGCCAGGATTTGACTCAGAAGCCTCACTCTCTCCACCATAACCCACTGCCAACCCAAGTCTATGCACTGCGAAAATCAAACACATGAAAGGACCCTGACGAATGTTTGTTTCTCAAGGATAATAACATAAGATTAGGTACGCCCTACCATTGCCACCAATATCATAGGGCAGAAAGAAGCCTTATCTAGTTAACTCCTTCCTTGACCTTGGTAGTTTAATGAATGCACTAGGACAACCCTTGGAAGATGTCGGGTGGAGAAAACACTTTACACAGGGCTGGACAAGTCCCCAGGGCTCAGTAAGCACTGGCTACTATCATCGCCCAACTCTTGAAAAGAAATGCTGCCAAAGAATAACCACATCCCAAGAAGGGCCTCAGAGTGTGGCAAGTGAGGCCTTCTCAGACTCACAACGTGTAGTTTCAACACTGATTGAAGACCCGAATGTCCATCTTTTGTCAGGGTATGTGATTTTGTTGGGGTCCAGTTTGGTTGGCAGAAACTAAGACACTAAGCTGATGAGAGAACCTGTTGCTTTTCACCGGGCTCTTTTTTTTTTTTTTTTTTTTTTTTTTGGTATTTTTAGTAGAGATAGCGTTTCACCATGTTGGCCAGGCTAGTCTCTCTCAAACTCCTGACCTCAAATGATCCACTCACCTTGGCCTCCCAAAGTGCTGGGATTACAGGCGTGAGTCACCATGCCCGGCCACCTGTTGCATCTTTAACAGTTGTGTTTGGAAAAGGGTGAGGAACTGATTCATCAATATTCAACACTAAGCTGCAAAATCAGGAATGCAGCCAATTGGTTTAATTGATCAAGACTTATAAACTCTTAAGGACTCTAGTGAACTGATACAAACTATTTCTTTGTGAAAAAAGGCTACGAAGTGAGAGACTTGAGTAAAAGCTGGAAAATTTACAACTCTGGAGAGAAGCACAACTGGGGAGACAGAAGCCTTTATAAGCCTTTTCTTATTCACAGTTAGTATCTACACACAACAGGGTCCCACTCACCAGTACTGCTGCCTGCCTTAAAAAGCAGAGAGCTCACACTCACTCAAGTGCCCCGACTACTGAGTTTTCATACTAGGAATACTCACAGCAACTATCTCTTGTTTCCTGGGATCAATGACTCTCACTTTCTTGTCTTTGGAAGCTGTGCAGATCAGACTGCCATTCCGGTTCCAGCTCACATTGTAAATCATGTCTGAATGCATATCGTCCAAGTTTATAAGGGCTTCCCCTGTTCCTACATTCCAGATGATAATGGCATTATCACAGCCTAAAATAGGCAAAACCATCAGAGATTAGAAGATTAGAAACACCTATACAACACACTCAGAAAACTACAGATACAGTGAGAATATATGTGTGTATATGTAGAGAAAGAGACAGAGAAAAGATGCAGCTGATTGTCAGAGATCCTACTAGAGGCCTACTTACTAAGAGAGTTAAAAACTGAAGTGACAAAGAAAAAGTTTGTATAAAACAAATAAAGGTGTTAAAGTAAAAATACAACTTGTTAAGTTTACAACTTGTTAAGTTTGGGTTCATATGAAACAATCAACCAAACAAAAACAAAGAAAAAACCAAAACAGAACCCTATTTTCTTTAAAGAGTTAACTGGGCTGGTAGACCCAAGTGACTTCAAGTTTCCTTTTCTAGTAAAACAAGCATCAGGGCGAATATAGCTTATTTCTCTGCCAAATAAACTAAAAATAAAAGGTTTAAATAACTGTTTAGGGCACTCAATAAAAACTCTGGGTGGCAGGTTATTCAAATCAGTGAGGCTCTAAGACACAGCTTTGGGATATTAAAGTATGGTGCAACAGTGGAAGGGAAAAAGCCAAGAGTAAGGCCTGTTTGCTCACAACAGAGATGTACCTTTAAATGAAGAGAAAAATAGACCAAGACTGCTCTGATCATGGTGAGAAGCCCAAACTGTAATCAAGTAGCTACATGGATTCAGAAACGGATTCTGAAAGAGGCCCATGATGTCAACTCAGTCACCACCTCAGCTCACCAACTCCTTCCTTCCTTCAAGGGTCTGCCCCAAGCCTCCAGGACCCTTTAAAAAGAGGCAGCATGTGTTGCTTGCTGGCCGGGCGCGGTGGCTCACGCCTGTAATCCCAGCACTTTGGGAGGCCGAGGCGGGCGGATCATGAGGTCAGATGGAGACCATCCTGGCTAACATGGTGAAACCCTGTCTCTACTAGAAATACAAAAAATTAGCCAGGTGTGGTGGTGCACGCCTGTAGTCCCAGCTACTTGGGAGGCTGAGGCAGGAGAATGGCGTGAACCCGGGAGGCGGAGCTTGCAGTGAGCCGAGTCCGCGCCACTGCACTCCAGCCTGGGTGACAGAGCCAGACTCTGTCTCAAAAAAAAAAAAAAAGGCAGCATGTGTTGCTCCTAGGATGTTAGTTCAAGGATGAAGCAAAATATGGGAAGGACATCCTAGAGGTGGATTCTTGCCAATAAAGCAATTTTGAAATCATTTAGAAAAAATAGCCACTAATATCCAGGATACTTAAGTTACCTAAGGGTTAGAAGTAGGAAACTGGCTGGGCGTGGTGGCTCAAGCCTGTAATTCCAGCACTTTGGGAAGCAGAGGCAGGCGGATCGCCTGAGGTCAGGAGTTGCAGACCTGCCTGACCAACATGGAGAAACCCCGTCTCTACTAAAAATACAAAATTAGCCAGGTGCGGTGGCGCATGCCTGTAGTCCCAGCTACTTGGGAGGCTGAGACAGGAGAATCACTTGAACCCTGGAGGCAGAGGTTGCGGTGAGCCGAGATCACGCCATTGCACTCCAGCCTGGGCAACAAGAACAAAACTCCATCTCAAAAAACAAACAAACAAACAAACAAAGTTGAAGCTAAGCTCTGGGATGGACAATTGAACCTTCTTCTGTCTTATTCCTCATAGGCAAACACATAGGCAAACAGGTAACTTCAGCCCCGGCAGCTGGATCACGTAGTCTAAAAATATGCAGAACATGACAATCACCCATTCTCCTTCACATGTAAAAGGGAGAATGCAGACCAGTCTGTTGCTGTTGCCCTATGTTGAGCCTTGATGAGAAAGGTAGCAGGAAATTTTCCATGACGGAATTCCAGCTCTGGAATTTTTCTCCTCTCCTTAATCAGACTGAGGTTCTGAATAGAACATCAAAAATCATTCCCAAGTATAGTCAATGGTGACTATAAAAAACATGGCACCTTTTTTGAAAAGTGGGCCTTAGTTTCAATAGGTACTTGGCATTATAATTTTTTATTTAATTCACTGTGAATCATAAACATTCTGTATTCCCAGTTAAAAACTGAACTGCCCCCCCTCCTTTTTACTGGTGAGGGGAAAGACCTTTAAAAATTCTATCTCTAACATTAGTATCACTTTTTAAATAAACCACTTTTATTTATTTTAATTATTTATTTATTTATTTATTGAGACGGAGTCTCGCTACGTCGCCTAGGCTGGAGTGCAGTGGTGCGATCTCGGCTCACTGCAAGCTCCGCCTCCCAGGTTCATGCCATTCTCCTGCCTCAGCCTCCTGAGTAGCTGGGACTATAGGCGCCTGCCACCACGCCCGGCTATTTTTTTTATATTTTTAGTAGAGACACGGTTTCAGCGTGTTAGCCAGGATGGTCTCGATCTCCTGACCTCGTGATCCGCCCGCCTCGGCCTCCCAAAGTGCTGGGATTACAGGCATGAGCCACCGTGCCTCGCAACCACTTTTATTAAGGTGTAACTTGCATACAATACAATGCACCTATCTTAAGCATATATTTGGTAAGTTTCAACAAATGTATATACTCATGTAGCCACTACTATGATCAAGATATAGAATATTTCCATCATCCCACAAAGTTCCCTCATGCTCTCTGTATTGCTTCCATAAAAGAAAATGAAATCTCCAATTTTAGATAAAGGAAAAGATTTCTGTACACCACCAATGTCCAGAAATAGGGGACTAATCAAGTAAAATGAGGTATATCCAGAAAATGGATTAGTATGAAGTCATTAAAAATAGAAGAATGTTCAATGGCACTTGAAAAGGGTCACAGCGTACCACCAAGTACAGAAAGCAGCCCATGTGTAAAGTGTATGAATCCATCTCTGTGTGTAAAATAATTTATGTATGTGCACAGAAATACCTTTCAGAAAGAAACATCAAAAAAGTAATAATGATCTTCCCTCTGAGTAGTGGGATGAAAAGTGATTTTTTTTTCCTTTTGTGTATACTATAGAGAACATATACTAATATATATAATTGTATAGCAGGGGAAAATGAGTTTTTTTAAAAAGGAAGGAGCGTATTTGCCTAATGGGGTCTCCCAAAGCCAGCAGCAACACCACAGACGGAACCCAGGGTTTCTGGCTCCCAACCAAGTATACCTTCTACATATCAGAAATAAACAAAACTATGGTTCATGGAGAGCCCTGGCAGGAACCATGAAACCTGCTGAAATTATAGCAGGAAATACATAGCTTTCCTCAGGTTGTCAAAGTGGCCCTGAAAGACACGCACATGCACACACACACACAAGTATGTGTGTGGGCTGGGGGAGCAGTGCACCTCACCCAATCCTCTTCACCATGGCTTCCTAATAATCTGCTTTAAAACCATAGAGCACACAACCAAAACACATTTGCTTCCCCCCACTCAGAGAGCCACAAGAGTGGAAGACAAGGGGAGGACCGCTGAGCTCAGCTCTCACCTGCACTAAGAAGCACATTGCGGGCTGTTGGATGCCAAGCCACGATGCCGACTCTCTTTGAGTGGCCTTCCAAAATCACCACAGGTTCAGTCAGGGAAAGCGTGAGTCCATTTTCTGGGATCTGCCATACCTGTTGGAGAAGGAAGAAAGATGATCCACATGAAAGCTACTGCCTTTCATTATCACATTTACAGTAACCATCCACTTTAAAGATTTGCTCTATATAAACAGAACATACAGTGATATGTGGATGAAAGGCAGAATGTTGTGAAATGACTGTGCTAGGCTGTTTTTCTTTTTTTTTGAGACGGAGTCTCACACTGTTGAACGAGCTGGAGTGCAGTGGCGCGATCTCGGCTCACTGCAACCTCCGTCTCCCAGGTTGAAGCAATTCTCCTGCCTCAGCCTCCCAAGTATCAGCTGTTTTTAAAATGTAATATGTTACCGGAGATCAGGATACCAACAAGGACTGCAAACATTACCTCTCAGCTTTTATTTAATATTATTTGGGATTTTATTCTAAATTCCTTGTGAAGTTCAAAACTCTCCAGTTAGAAGCATGCAAAAAATTGAAAGAAAAATACAAAATGATTGAAACACTCAAGAAAAGGATTGGGATGAAGACACTTAGCTAAGTCTGTGGTTCTTGATGAGATGATGATGTAATTTTTAAAACATATTTTCTTTTCTTCTTTTTTTTTTTTTTTTTTTTTTGAGACGGAGTATCACTCTGTCGCCCAGGCTGGAGTGCACTGGCGCGATCTTGGCTCACTGCAAGCTCCACCTGCCAGATTCACGCCATTCTCCTGCCTCAGCCTCCCGAGTAGCTGGGACCACAGGTGTCTGCCAACACGCCCGGCTAATTTTTTGTATTTTTAGTAGAGACGGGGTTTCACCGTGTTGGCCAGGATCGTCTCGATCTCCTGACCTCATGATATGCCCATCTTAGTCTCCCAAAGGTGCTGGGATTACAGGCGTGAGCCACCGCGCCCGGCCTTAAAACATATTTTCTATAATTTTACACTTGGAAAATAAAAATACACTTAATATTTTTATAACATGTATTATAGAAAATACTACAAAAGAAAAAAATAAATTGACCTCATCAAAATTAAAAGCTTTTGTGCTTCAAAGGACACTATCAAGAAAGTGAAAAAACCACCCACAGAATGGGAGAAAATAACTTGCAAATCATACATTTGATAAGAGACCTATAGCAAGAATATATAAAGAACTCTCAGAATTCAACCAAAGGACAAATAATCCAATTTAAAAACAGGCCAGTCATCTAAATAGACATTTAAGGAAGACATATAAATGGCGAAAAAGCAAATGAAAAGATGTTTGGCATTATTAGTTTTTACAGAAATGCAAATCAAAACCACAAGCTCTCTTTTCATGCCCATTAGAAACAAAAAGACAGATAACAAGTGTTTATAAGCATGTGAAAAAATCAAAGCCTGCGTACATGGCTGGTGAGAATGTAAAATGGTACAGCCACCATTTGGTGGCAGACTCTGGAAAACAGCTTGGCAGTTCCTCAAATGATTAAACAGAGTTATCATATGACCCAGTAATTCCACTCCTAGGGATATACCCAAGAGTATGGAAACTATGTGTCCATGCAAAAACTTGTACAAGAATGTTCATGGAAGCATTATTTGTAACAGCCCAAAGGTGGAAACAACCCAAATATCCATCTATTGATAAATGGCTAAACAAAATGTGACATATTCATACACTGGAATATTATTTGGCCATAAAAAAGAATGAAGTATTGATACATGCTACAACATGAGCAAACTCTAAAAACATTGTGCAAAGTGAAAGAAGCCAGACATAGAAGACCGCATATTGCAGGATTCCATGTATGTGAAATGTCCAGCAGAGGTAAATCCATGAAGACAGAAAGTAGAATAGTGGTTGCTTAGTGTTGGGGAGTGTGGAGGGAGACAGGTGGAGGGGTGATAGCTAAAGGATTTGGGTTTCTATTTGAGGTGATGAAAATTTTCTATAATTGTCTGTGGTGATGGTTGAGAATATTCTAAAAATCAGTGAATTGTACATTTTAAATGAGTGAATTATATGTGACTTATATCTCAATAAAACTTGTGACTTAAAAAAAAATCCTCTTGACTGGTGAAGACATGCAGAAGACTCGCCATATCTTAACTGAGCACATGCCTGGGCACAGGGGGAGAAAGGGACAGGGAAAGTATGAGTGGAAGGAATGAAAGACTTTACGTTTAACAATGGAAGAGAAAGGTTTCAAAGGGTTAAGAAACAAACAACCTCTAAGAAAAGGGCTGAGTTACAGGTAAGCTGAGTAGCATCAAGAACCCTACAGAAGACCAGATATTAAATAGTATTTAAGCTTATGAAAAAGCTAACGTTTAAAATCATTATCTTCTACATGAAGATTAAAACAAGTAAATTTACCATCAGAAAATGATTTTGAGGAACTAGCTCATGAAAAATTTAAGAACTTGTCAGTGAAAAATCATGTTCAACACTAGAACACGTGAGAAATAGAATTTTCCTTTGTGGGAACTTTAAAGAAGGGACAAACAATTGTCTGTTTTCAATTGCTTAGTGGAAGGCAGAGATCTAGACTGGATGAGTGTTTAGGGTTCAGCTCAGTTCAACTGTCCTGCAAAAAAATGAGAAAAGTTTGCCATTCTGAAGAGTGGGAAAAGGTCATGAGTTGAGTGATTTGTTCATTTTTACAGCTCAATTCTGCCCAGGCTAAATATAACCCCTTATGCAAATCATGGCAAAAATAAACCTGCATTTTGAGGGCCCAAGTTTAGAACATCACCTAATTTCCCCAAAGCCCCACCATCATTCAGCAAATTTTAAGCAAGGCAGGTGTGAACAAGCAGAGAAGGAAAAGGATCCTCTGCGGAACAGATCTTGACCCAGGCCTCTTTCCCCTGTGGAGAATGTGGGCATCTGCTCTCCTCCAGCACTGCATGTCAGCTTTCATCCTGATATGCACTATTTTTATTCAAGAATTTATGATTAGTGAAATAACTCCACATTGAACTTGACTATTTGAATATAAAGCAGGACTGACATTTTGAACAGAACACACAGAAAACAGTGACTACTAATCTGATCAAAGCATGAAGTCGACAGAAAAACAATTATGAAATGGGACTTTAGTGACTTAACAGGAAATGCATTTTGCAAGATGCACTGTGACCCCACTTAGAACTGACAGAGTGGTAATACCACCTTCGATCTCCAGATGGCACCCCAACCATGGCCTGCTGGGTTTCCTCGTAAGGACTGAAAACGCTTCTGTGTCTAACTCTGAGCACAGCCAGTGCATTTTCCAAATCATTAATGAGATGTGGAGTGATGGGAGGCTTTGGTTATAATCAGCATTTCCAACCTTAAAATATGAGGGCAGAAGCAGAGCTCATAATGGGGACTCAACCTTTTCCTTTCTCTAGCTTCTCCCCATCATCTTTTCCTGGATTAAAAGAAAATTTTAATGATGAAGCAAAAACATTTATTAATTTTTAAAATAAGGAAACTCTGTGTGTTCCTTCTTTACCTCACCTTCAGCTGGTTTAATGGTTCCCTTGGCTGGGTTTATGCACATAAGACAAGCACCTAACCCATTTTACTACCTTGGTTAACTCTTTCTTGTAACACGTTTAATGAGTTACAATAAATTCTCTTGTAACCCATCTAGTACTGTGTAACTAAATACAGGCCCTGCTCTTGAGAAGTTGATGGTCTAACAGAAAGCAGAGACTTCTATCAGACTGAAAATCGAAGACAACAAATCCAAGTGGTGTGATACAGAGGGTTAGAGAGTGAGCACCGCAGTCAGGCAGAGTCTGGTTCAAATCCTGCCTGGGCTACTTACTGTGATGATCCTGGCAAACATCACTGCATAGAGAAAACATTAGTACCTACGCCTGAGAAGTGTGCTAAGAGATTTAAGGAATTAACCCTCAGCACAGAGCCAGACACACACATAGTGCCTCCAGAATGCAGAGACAGTACACAGCAGGGCTGAGATGATGGGCTCTGGCCAGATTGATGTGACTGAATTCCTGATTCAGTCACATATCAGTGGTGTGACCTTGGGGACATTCACCTAACCTTTCCAGGACTTAATATTGAACCTGCCCTCTGTGAGGCGGTTTGAAGACTAACATGGTGACATGAAACTGACACATTTAGAAGAATGCCTGGCGTAAGGCAGACACTGGGTGTTAGTTGTTATTATTGCCTGTATATTCACTAAGAACCACACAGTGCAACCAGTGCTATGCTGGCATAAGCCAACCGCACTACTATGAAATAAGCTTCCTGCTAAGCAAGCTTGGTTCACCAAGGAGGGCTCCCTGAGGAGGTGACCTCTAAGGATGAACAAGACTTAGGTGAAAGTAGAGAAGAAAATAAGGAGAAATTGAATATCCAGTCTCAAAATAAAAAACACAGATGTGTAGAACAATTTTCTAAAAAGCGTATGCAGCATTTAAACAATGCCATAAAGAAGCTGGCTCAGGAGCTGCTAGGGAAAAAGCATCAGAGTGAAAAAGCTAATAATACTGTAAGCACAAGGACTGCAATGTGAGAAGAAAGTTGAGTGAAAAAGTCTCTGAAATGAAATGAGAAGACAATTGAAGTCTTGCGTCCACTGGTAAAGAGGGGGTGGTGTTCTCTACAGTGGACTGTGGAAAGAGCTGGGGGCTTGGGGGCGGTCTGTAGGTCTTTCCACACCAGCATACATGTGCTCTGGCTGGTGCCCACAGGCCCTGCTCACAGGACTGCCATTATGTGGCTCTCTGCCGTCTTCAGGGTTGTCTGCTACTTCGGGTGACGGCTTGCAGGTTTGGACTGATGTTCCTGCAGCTCAGGGACAACAACAAACAGAAGCACTACTTGGTGCATGTTTGGCCCTTTTGTATGTAATATGGGATGCTGGTCTGGGTGTCAGAAGACACAGGCTCCTGTCAGAGCTGGGACACTAATTGGTCATGTTAGCATTAAGGAAGGATTTCACTTCCGGGAGCCTGAATTTCCTTGATACTGGGGACAGCTGTGCTTACTCAGGGGTTACTAGAAGGGTTAAATGAGCTCAAACATTTTGCATGCCCCAAAACACTA